TTAATCATATATAGAATAATAATTAAACTTCAATTAAATTTTCATGCTTATTAATACTTGTCCTTCAACTAAGTAAAAAATATATTTTTATTATATATGTTGATCGTAGTCTTATTCAATCCTATAATTAAAATGATATATAAAGTTATAGAAACACTTTGAACAAATAAGATTTTTTTTTTCAAAAATCGAAAACCTAACCGAACAGCCGAAAAATTAATCGAGACGTACCGATTACTTTGGATAACCAAATAATCATCAATTCGATTTTGATACCTCACAATGAGGTTCAATTTCTCTCCAATGACCCAGCTTGTAGGAATGTTATCGAACCGAACTATTCGCGAACAAAGTTCGTTTAGTAATCGTTTGTGTTAACAGTTCAATTTCTCTCCAATGACCCTTATATATATTATATATATGATTATATACATAATTTATATAAATAATATAACTTATATATATAGGTATGGAAATGTGTTTAATATATATGGTACTTAAAAAAACCAGCAGACACGAACACGAACATGTCGAATAATACAAGCATGAATAAGTCCAATAATACGAACACGAACTTGTAGAACAATTTCAACAATTCGAAAATAAGTTCGACTATACAAACGGACGAATACAAACTTGTCGAACTGAGAAATGAACGAACATGAATGAAAATTTTTATTTGAATATTAAATGAACGAACACGATCATGTTCAAAAATTAGTCGAACCGGGCTCGAAAAATTTAAGCTCGATTCAGTCGCTAACTCTTAATTGATTTTCTTGAAAATCTCTAACACTTAATTGGAAATCCGAATTGGATTAAAATTCTAAGTCTCCTAATTATTCTAAGTATATCTAACACACAAGTAAAACACATAAACACAAGAATTCGTTCCCAACAAAAACAGCCGCACTTACAAACGAGAATTCGCACTGATCAGGTCACAACACAGAGTATTCGCCGGCGACGGAAGTTTAATCAGGACATACAACTTCCACAACCCGCGCCTTCACCGGTGAAGAAGGATGAAGCAAGAAGGGAAAAAAGGAAAAAAAAAAAAGAAAGGAAAAATAGAAAGACATAACACTCGCCGTCGGCATTGCCAGTTATCTGCCGTAGGTTGGTCGCCGTCACTGGTGGAAGAAAAGGAACAAGGTAATTTTTCAATTCGTGTAGTATACTTTGACATTTTAGCAATTTTTTATCTCCTGTAGCAAACCTTGAGTTCAATTATACGTATATGTTGAATTTTTTATCTGTGAAAATTCCTAGTTATTAGCATTGATCTGATAGTTATTGTTCATCCCTTAGTTATTGTATGATATTCATATAAGATGTACAATCAAATTTGAGGTTTGAGGTTGCAAGGTGGCTATTTGTGTTATTTTTGAACCAGGGCAAATATCTGGTTGGGGTTTGTCACACCCCGCCTTACTACTAGTTCTTTTTTTTTTTAAAAAAATCAGAGTAAAATTTTTGTTTTTATTTTCGAAAGAACGTGCGAGCTGGGTTTTCGAAAATACTGACTTATTGCGGGATGTGGCAGATAAAAACTTAAACTGAACTCGGGCTTGCCCGCAGACATAATAAAAACATGCAACCAGACTATCCGCTCACGGATTATGGAATTATACATGCATAGTCTGTACTGTCTCGCACTGTCTAGAAAACTCGCTGGCGGAAGCATCCGAAATACGAATACATAACATGCGTACATAAACTGAATAAAATACACATGATCATAAATCTAGGACATAAAAATGCTGGTAAAATATGTCCGACTCTCATGACCACGCTGCGCCACATCTGTGCTCATCCGGCACGCTCGACTCCGCCTCCTGAAAAACATAATGGGGGCGTGAGCAAACCCTATGCTCCGCAAAGACCAGTACTGAACAAAACATCATCTATGATAACGTATCATGAAACATAAATATATAAGAGCTGAAACTGTAAACTGATCTCTTATGTCTGTTCTGATCTGTGGTCAAAAGACCCTCGGCCGTAGCCGCTCGTGTGCACACGCCGATGGGGTAGAAAGGGCCTCGCCCCTCCCAACGGTTATCAGGTGGGTATAAAGGCCTCGGCCACCCAACCCGGAACTAAACTGTCTCAAACATACCTCTGCTATGGTACAGATATTATTTATGATGTGACATCCAGTACATGACCCCCACCTGAAAAACTTAGAATCTGATATGCAAGTGCAGATGCTGGAGTAGCGGTCGGAGGCTCGACTCTCCTTAGGCTACATAAATATTTAAGCAAAATAATGCTAAGTATAATGCTCAGAATATTTAATTATATGCTAAAATGCTTGGACTTATCTACGCGATTAAACTAGACTGGACTGGCTCGAAAAAATACTGAAATTTCCGGAACTGGACTCGGATCAGAAATCACGAATCAAAACTGACTCGAACCGCCGGTCGAACCGGCCGGTTCGCTGGCTGGCCGGACCGCCGACTCGACTGGGCCGGGCGGTCGGGCTGGGTTCGGCTAGACCGGGCTCGGTCCCGTGCCGGGCCAGCTGGTGCCCGGGCACGGCTGGTGCGACCGGGCTCGGTCCCTGGTGCCGCTGGACTTGGCTAGGCGCGGACTGGCGCTGGTGGGCACGGCCAGGGGCTGCTGGCACGGCCCGGGCACGACTGGTGCCCCTCGGGTGCGTGCTGGGCACGGCCGAGGGTCGACTGAGCCTCTAAGTAATTGCTCGAGGTATTGGGGGTCTAAGAACTTCATTGAATCATATAGATGAGGTTTATATAGGAGATGGGGCGGAATTTGCTATGTGAGGTCAAAGGGGACCAAAACTCATGACTTAGGCACCCACTCTTATGCATGGGGACTTGAGGATGTTGGGGCATCTTTTAGCACAGTTTTTGGAGAGCATTTGGTGGTATTTAAAGAGTATTATACTGAGGAAAAACAGGTCTGGTCGGGCATCCAAAATGGTGGGGGACAAGGACAAACTTCCTTGATTAAAATAATGGTGGCACATGCTCCATTGGCTTAGGCACTAATTGATTCTCCTTAAACATTGCTTAGGGTAACTTAAGCTTAATTTGTCCCACATTAAGTCCTAATTACACGCCTGAGTTGGGCCATGAGGAAAGTGGGCCGAAAAATGGTGTTTTGGGCTTATGAAGTTGGGCTGGCAGGGCTGTCGCTGGGCCTGCTGGGCGCGGCACTGGGCCCTGGGCGCGAGGGGCATAAAATCATAAGCATTTTGACTAAGGTAATGAACTCCAATTATATTCAAATTTTTACACCATCAATGGCATGATATTTAAAGGTGATTTAACAAACATTTTCAACTTAGGCATGCTTGCTACTCAATTTTCATTTTTAAGGTCATTTATTTCAAAAATTCGTAAATCACATATAATGACATGCATGGCTCGGTTTTTCTTCATGAAAAATCTTAAAATGTCATAAAATAATTTATGAACTCAAAAATCCCGAGCTTACCTCGGTTAGAAATGAAGAACTAATGCTAGGGCTCAAAGTGTGCTTAGGGGCGGCCTTGGGAGTTGGCTTGGACATAGGTTGTGTTTTGCTCGTGTCAAACACCTCCAAGGGACTTAGAAAAATATAAGGTACACTTATATGGTGCTAAGCCTCGAGGGAATGTGCTTGGACAAGGGTGAGGTGCGGTCCTCCTTCTTCCCCAGGGCTGCGCGCGCGAGGTAGGCACCAGCTGGGTTCTTCTCACTTTTCTGATTTTTCTCTAAGTATTTGCTCGAGGTATTGGGGGTCTAAGAACTTCCTTGCATCTTATAGAAGAGGTTTATATAGGAGATGGGGCGGAACTTGCTATGTGAGGTCAAAGGGGACCAAAATGGGTGGGAATCTTTCCCTTTTCATGCACATGAGTAGAGGCTAGTCATGGGGAACAATGGCTGACTTAAATCACGGTTTGGGTGGAGATTCCTGGTGGTTTTACAGAGCTCAAACGTTTATTTAAGTGGTCTGGTCAGCCTTGGTACAAAAGTGGGGGACAAGGACAAAAATTCTTGGATAAACAATGTTGTGCACATGCTTCACTTCATGCTAAACTCTAGTTGACTTTCCTTAACAATGCTAAGGGCCAATTAAGCACATTTAGACCCTTATTAAGCCCTTATTACACGCTTGAAATGGGTCATGAGGAAAGTGGGCCGAAAAATGGAGTTTTGTGCCTTGGAAGCTGGACTGGTCGCGTTGGGCGCTGAGTCCTGGGCGCGGGGACGCGGGCTGGGCGCGAGGGCGCGGCTGGGCTGCGCGGGAAATGGTGCTGCTCGGGGAAAATGACTTTGGGCTGAGTTGCAAGGGTTGGGAAAGGCTTCCAACACTTAGAAAATTTTAGGGAACTAATGCCAAGGCTTAGGACAAGCCTTGGGCTTGGTGGCATTTTCCCGGGCGCGGCTCGAGGCGCGGGTGCGGGACTCGGCACGAGCGGCTCGGGTAAGGACTAGGGCTCGGTTAAAATGATCAATACTTATACTTTGATGTTATTATACACTTAGAATAATATTCTAAGTATAAAAATACCAATACTTGGCTATGCTCGGGATTTACCCGAAAGTTTACTCGGAACCAAACTAGGGTTCAGAGTCGATAAATTCTCGAATTGACTTGCTATTATTTACCAACCCAAATTAATGGATTAATCTTAACTTATACTTGAGATAGAATTATTCAAGGAATAATTTATCATGTTTGAGCATTTAGCATAAATAATATAACTCGATAATTTCTGAAAATTACGGATTTCACTTATAGTCGAGCAGTGAAACCGTTCTGAATATTATTACTGTTTTGGGGCATTACAGGGTTCTTCTTCATGTTCTATTGTAATGGTTGGAGTTTTAGGTTTTTTATTTATTTGGCTGGCTATTTCGTCTGGTTGGAGTTTTTTGTTTGACTTTAGAGGATAATTGCTTTGTATTTTGCTATTGAATTGGTTAAATTAACAGTATATGTGTGTGGTTATTTTTGGACCTTTTCATGCGTGCATACAGATGGTGGGAGAGGGTAGAAGGGAGTTCATTTTATGGGTGCTTTTATGTAGGGTATGTGGCCTGTAAGTGTCTGATTAGGTGTTCCATAGGTTCCATGAGTAGCATACTACCATGTCTTTGTGTTCGAGAAACACCGTTAGGTATGGCGTTGGAGTTGAATGAATAGATGCAAGATCTTCCAAACCTCCTTTAGATAATCAATCATGTTTGGAGTTAGTTCATGAAAATCGGGACCCCTGTAATCAATCACCTCATCTGGGTCTTGAATATAGTTTATAGTTGGGTAAACAGGATCACCACCCCAAACTGAGAAAAAATTCCAGCAAATCAGTGAGCAAGAAAATCAGAGAAGGAAATATAATAAAGGAAGAAAAAAGAAAAAAAAATTACTAAATACTCTCACTTCTTAATTCAACATTTAGTTTCATCTTGCCAAAATATTACCGATTTTAGAACTCAAACTGCTTACACCTTCCACTTAAAAATAAATTATCTCTCTTTAAAATATAAGTTTCACTCACACACTTGATAACATACTTTCCTTCATCTGATCCTCGCGCATTCTCATTGCAAGTGGATCACGTTGGATTCGGATATCGGTGCCCATCATTATACGATATTCTCTGTCTGTTTGATGCATAAACATCTTGATTAGTTGGGTGTTCTCATCCTCACCAGTTTCCTCAAAATGCTTTTGAATCGCTTTGCGTGAAGTGTCCTTTGTCCATGCTTTGACCCATTTGGAATAGTATGCCAAAGGACCGACCTCTTCCATAGGTTTCTTACTTATTGCTTTTCTTTCTGATTTTACTTAACCATTTGGTTGATGATTATTGATGGGGATTCCTCACAATCTTGTGCCTGCAAAGTTATATATGGATTTGTGCGTGGTGTTTATTTGTTTTTTTTTTTAAGTGACTTTAAAAATACTCCCTATTTTTCCCAAACAGTATCATTTGTTAAGTGCTCCCTTTTTTCCCTTTTAACTCCAACCTCTACTTCTCTATATATGTACATACTAATGCTTTTTTTGTTGATTATATGTAGAAACAGAGAATGGATAAGAGTTGGATGCGCGCTAAAAAATTTTCAAAAGCTTACATAGATGGGGTAAACATTTTTATGAGATTTGTAGAAGCTCATTTGGGAAAGGAATGCGAGATTCGATGTCCGTGCACAGGCTGCTGGAACTTATCGTTTAAAGATCAAAAGACGGTTAAAAGTCACATTTTGATGCATGGAATAGATCCAGGGTATGTCACATGGTTTTATCACGGTGAACCAGTCTCAAGTAACCGAGCGAGTCAGCATGCTAATGTGGAAGATAAACATCATTCTAGGTCAGTGCACCAAAATCATGATGAATATGAAAACGATGGTGTTACCGACATGTTATCTGACCTTGGGGAGCAGTACTATCAACCTGATACACATGACGGCAATAATATAAACACAGGCGGAGTACCAGCATATCTTGAGGCATTGATGAAAGATGCCAAAGCACAATTATACCCAGGATGTAAAAAAATCTCAAAGATATCTTTTATCATCCAATTGCTCCACTTGAAAGTTTATAATAAACTGAGTAATAAAGCCATTGATATGTTATTGAGTTTGATAAAGTTAGCATTGCGGGATGGAGGGTCACTTCCAAGTTCTTATTATGAGGCTAAAAAGTTTTTGCGAGATCTTGGATTAGGATATGAGTGCATTCATGCTTGTAAAAATGATTGTGCGTTATTCTGGAACGAGAATAGGAACCTGGAGAGTTGTCCTATTTGTGGATCCTCTCGGTGGAAAGTAAACGACGGTGCAGGGAAGAAGATACCAGAAAATATCTTAAGGCACTTTCCTCTGAAACCCAGACTCCAGCGCCTTTTCATGTCTGAGAAAGTATCAAAGAAAATGGTGTGGCATAAAGAGAAACGCATTGATGATGACTATATGAGGCATCCTGCGGACTCCCTTGGATGGAAAGATTTTGATAGTGAGTTTTCTTGGTTTGCAAAAGATCCTAGAAATGTTCGACTTGCTTTGGCTGCAGATGGTTTTAATCCATTTGGAAACTTAAGTACCACTTACAGCATGTGGCCGGTAGTTCTTGCTCCATTAAATCTCCCCCCACGGGATTGCATGAAACAACCGTTCTTTATGTTGTCTTTGCTTATTCCTGGGAAGAAGTCACCTGGAAAAGACATTGATGTCTACCTACAAGAACTGATTCAAGAGCTGAAAACATTATGGGTTGATGGTGCACAAACCTTTGATGTTCGTTGTAAAGAAACTTTCAATTTACATGCTGCTGTTTTGTGGACAATAAACGACTTTCCAACATATGGGGATCTGTCTGGGTGGAGCACAAAAGGTTACATGGCCTGTCCCACGTGCAATGAGAAGACACATTCTTTGAGATTGCGTAATAAGATATGTTACATGGGGCATCGACGCTACTTACCGAGAGATCATCCTTGGAGGAGAAGTAAGAAGTTTGATGGAAAAAGAGAAGACAATGAGGTACCTCGAGATTTAAGTGGGGAGGATGTGTTAATGCAGCTACGAGGATGAAAAAATGTAATTCCAGGGAAGCATGCCAACAAAAAAAGGAAGCGACACCCCGAGGAGTTAAATTGGACTAAACGCAGCATTTTCTTTGATTTGCCTTATTGGAGTAAGTTGAAATTAAGGCACAATTTACATGTAATGCATATTGAAAAAAATATATGTGAGAGCATCTTAGGAACCTTGATGAGTGCAGAAGGGAAAACAAAAGATAAACTTAATGTCAGGCGAGATTTGGAGGACATGAAAATTCGCAAAGAGTTGCACTTGATCAATTCAGGTGATGGAAAACATGTGATGCCTGCAGCTTGTTATGTAATGAAAAAGAAAGAAAGACGTGACTTTTGTGAATTCCTAAAGTCCGTCAAGTTTCCTGATGGCTATGCATCCAATATCTCTCGTTGTGTAAGATCAAGTGATCAAAAGATATCCGGATTAAAGAGTCATGATTGTCATATTCTTTTACAATGGATACTTCCTGTTGGGATTCGTGGGTCCTTAAATAAAGAAGTATGCGAGGTATTGGCTGAATTAGGCAGTTTCTTTCAACGCATATGCTGTAGGAAGTTGAAAAAAACAGAATTGGAAAAAATGAGAGATGATATTTGTTTGATATTGTGAAAACTAGAGAAGATATACCCTCCTGCATTCTTTGACGTCATGGTTCACTTGTCAATCCATTTGCCGAATGAGGCATTGATAGGTGGCCCAGTTCAATTTAGTTGGATGTTTCCAATTGAACGGTAATTCATATTAAACTATGAGCTTCTTATTTATAACTTCTTCTTGTGAATGTTTTTAATAATATTGTTTTTTTTTTTAGATTTTTGGGCGACTTGAAGCAAGGTGTAACTAATAAAGCTCATACGGAAGGATCCATTGCAGAAACATACATTGCAAAGGAGTCATTAACTTTTTGCTCCATGTACTTGCGGGGAATTGAGACTAGATTTAACAGAGATGACAGAAATTGTGATATAACAGTTGATGATAGTCTATCAATCTTTTTTCTGCAAAATGTCGCCCCTTTGGAGCAACAACACTTGTTGAGTTATCAAAAGAAGAGTTTGACATGGTACAATGGTTTGTCTCTCAGAATTGTGAAGAGGTTCAACCTTATATTGAGTAAGTATAAATTATATTTTACATATACATACAATATTATTACACTTTTTTTTCTTAAATAACTATATTCAATGCAGGAAGCACAAACAGGAGCTATTATTAGCTGGTTGTAAAAACATAAACCAAGAGCATAGAGAAAAATTTCCTTCGTGGTTCAGAAAACATGTAAAGGCCTTGCAAATATAAAATATTCCATCTTTTTATCTTTTCTCATTCTTTTCATTTTAATTAAATTGTTATTTATAGTCCATATCTTATCTTATTCAGATGACCCATTCGTATCATGAGAATCCAGACGAAGCCAATGAAGCTTTGTATTCACTTGCATGTGCCCCAAGAAAATGTGTTAGGAAGTACACTGGATGTATTGTCAATGGAGTAAGGTTTCTAACGAAAGACCGTGATAGTCGTCGTAATACCCAAAATAGCGGTATCTCTGTGGAGGGTAACCACGGTGAAGATACAATTGAATTTTATGGTGTTGTATCTGATATAATTCAGCTTGACTATGTGAAAGATAGGCATATTACCATATTCAAATGTGAATGGTTTGATCTTGGGGGTAAAAAACAAAAAGGGTTACAGAAAGAGGGCAATATTGCGAGTGTTCGAATTACAAAAGGATGGTATGAGAACGACCCTTACATATTAGCTAATCAAGCTAGACAAGTTTTCTACATTAGTGATCCTAAATTAGGAAGTGACTGGCGAGTAGTGCAACCATTCCAGCATAGGCATGTCTATGATGTTGATGAGATACCAGATGATGAAATAGGCCCTAATGATTTGTTTTCTATGGAAGATGGGCATACCAAGAGAATGAAGCAAATGATGCACTTAAAGTTAGATTTGATGAGTTAGAATCACTAGGTAGGACTGACATGGATTCTCAAGATATTGAGGAATCAATGATAGAAACACTACCAGAAGTTGCAGAGCTCGTAAACATAGAAGATGTCATTGAAGAAGATGAGCCCGATGACACCTTGGTCGACTATTGTAGTAGAGTAGAAGATTCTGAAAAAAGCAACACTTCTGATAGTGATGACGACAATGATGATTGGGAAGGCTATTGATGGACTAGAAGCTTGAATTTTGTATTGTGGTATGTGGACATTTCACTCGGTGGTTTAAATATGATCAATATTGTTGCACTAGATGTAATGAGATATTATAATTGAAAATTTCTTGCAGGTTCTATCTGTTGGGCTCCCGGCCTTCTCGAGTTCTGGTCGAAAATCAGTTTCTTTTGTTAATGAATTCTTCTTAGTGGCAGGTAAACAAAGATTGAACCTTTTTCTTTTTTCTTGAATTTGTTCTGTGATATTTTACCGAACGCCAAGCACGTGTAGTTTGGTTTTGGTTGTGTGAACTGTGGAGTCTAAAGCTATTACTTTGCAGGTTTAAAACTTTGGATGGCCGACTCTACATTATGATCACTGTGATTTTTTTTTTTAATTCTTATTTCTTCATCTTTTCATTTTGTTCTTATTCGTTTGTGCTGACTGTTGTGTAAGTTTGAGAATTTTGGTTATGATGCTGCCTTCATATGGAAGTTTTGGGATTTGTGAAACTTTATGCAGAGGTCTCACTATAGAGTTAAGTTGAGTATTGGAAGCAACTGCTGAAAGGATTCTATTTTTTATCAAGCAATTTAGTTTCGCATCTAAAAATTGAAGTACCCTTTTTCCCTCACAATTTGTTTTGAGTGTCATTTAGCTGTTTGTTACACTGCTTGCCTCTCTAGATTTGTATATTAAAGCATGGTTATTGAGGTTTTGCATTATCTGTACAGTTTTTGTGAGAGAAAATTTACCTGAAATCTACTATAGCAATTGGAAGTTTAAGAAGAAGCTATTGAGCTTGTTAGTTAGATGAAATTAGATTGGGTAGATTATATATTTCGCTAGATGAGCTTATTTGTCCATTTTGACAATTTAGAACCAGAGGATCAATCTATAGTTATTAATGGAGGGAGTGTTGATTAAAATAGGTAGTTTTTTTTTTTTTTTTTGTAAGATTTGTCTATTGAAGGAATGGTTTTTGCGTTTTTTGTATGATATGTACAAATTTTTGTTACAATGAAATTTTGCCTGAAGACTATTATAGCAATTGGAAGTTCAAGAAGAAGTTTTTGAGCTTGATAGATGGATGAAATTGTACTGGGTGGATTGTGTGTGTGGATTGATAAATTTTAGGAGTCCTTTTGTACTGTTTAGAACTAGATGATCTATCTACAATAGGCAGCTGATAATTTAAGGATTGTTTTAAATGCTTTACTATGTACAGAGCTTAACGGTTCTACATTGATTAGATGAAAGTGGCGCTTGGATGCTGATTCATGTGCCAAACTAAGTAATTAAACTTGAAGGAATTCAATCATTGTCAGTTTCAATTGTTTTCAGTATTATAGATGGGTACAATACCTTTTCTTTTTTGCGTGCGTATGGACTCCATTATGAGAGCCTAGGTTGGTCGGCATTGATGTTCAATTTACTCATCACAGTTTAAGATATGCTTCCTAATTTTTGCTTTCCCAGCTTGCATTTCTGATTGTGCTAAAAAATTGGTTACACAGCACATGACTTTTTAGAATCCAGGGTTTAAACTTCCTCAATTTTTAGCAAACTATTTTTTATGTTGTTGCTATTGTTCTTTGTTTGTTAACTATTTTATTTCTGTCATTGGTTGATATCAACCTTGCATTTATACAGGTACACATAGTACATGAATGGGCATGGGCTGGTACTCCAAATGAAGGAGCTGCATGGCTTCGGCTACAAAGGCTAGCCGATACTTGGCACCGCATACTTTTCAATATCCAGGTCGATTACTCAAATTGCAGCTCGACTGCCAGAAGGGCCTTATTAACGACCAGTGGGGTTGTCGTGTCGTGTTCTTGTTCGTCGCGAGTTTCTTTGGGTTTCCCGTTTTCGACATTGATCTCCATTTTTGATGGTTGATTTTTTTGTTTTGTTTTCTAGGGTTTTTTTTGGGGGTGATGTGAAGGATGATGATGTATTTACATATGTGACAAAAAAAAATGATGGGTTTTGGGTGAAAGGGAAGGGAGTTTAGCATGGTTTTTGATGGAGCTCATTGAATTTGAAATTGTTGGCTGATTTCAACTAGGGGAAATTTTATTCCCAGTGGTTGCAGCTATCAATTCTGTCAATGCTCTTTTACTGGTTGCTAACAGGTTGGGTGCACATCGTCTAGGGGTTTTGATGCACAGTGGTCTTTAGATTGTTGTTATTTTGTTATGTTAGTGGTTTTATATTTAGCTTGTTGTTATTTTGTTATGTTAGTGGTTTTGTATTTAGCTTGCTAGCTATAAACTGTTTGGTGACTGCAGTATGACAACTTGAAAAACTAGATGTATTATAAGATATAGTCACAATACATAATTATATAATGATGAATTAGTCGTATCCGTCATTGNGAATTAAATTTTGTAATAATATGTATTACTGTGACGAATTTAGATGTAGTATAATATATCGTCACAATACAGAATTATATAATGATGAATTAGTCGTAAGTGTCATTGTAATTACCAAATAAAACGACGACATTTAACTTGTCGCATTGAATTTCGTCATGGTATGTATTACTGTGACATATCTATATGTATTGTAACATGTCGTCACAATACAAAATTATACAATGACGAATTAGTCGTAATCTTCATTGTAAATACCAAAAATAAACGACGACCTTTATTGTGTCGCATTGAATTTCGTCATGATATGTATTACTATGACGAATCTATATGTATTGTAACATGTCGTCACAATACAAAATTATATAATGACGAATTAGTCCTAAACGTCATAGTAAATCACAAAAAAAAAACGACGACATTTAACTTGTCACATGGAATTTCGTCACTTTTCAAATAAACATGACGAATTTAGATGTAAAGGTGACGGATTAAAATGTTTTGTCATGAAATTTATGATTATGTGACGAAAACCAAATTCTAAGATGACGAATGTAGTAGTCGTCGTTGTATGCAATGATTTAGTGACGATTTTAATAATTCGTCACCATAGGATATCCGATTGTGACGATTTTTTTTTCGTCACATGAATTTTCGTCCTAATATGTGTAATTTCTTGTAGTGGTCAGGTTCTGCCCGACCTCTAGCTCGCCAAAGTTCACTACGTGGCTCGGATCGTACACATACTTTCTCAACATCGACACATGGAAGACGTTGTGTACACCCGAGAGTTCTGGGGGTAACGCCAGACGCTAGGCTGTTATGCCAACTCGTTCGAGAATATCGAATGGCCCTATGAATCGGGGCTGCAGCTTCTCCCTTTTCCCAAACCGTACTACGCCCTTCATCGGCGTGACCTTCAGGAATACCTTGTCGCCCTGCTCAAACTCAAGCTCCCTTCTACGCTTGTTAGCGTAGGCCTTTTGTCGGCTCTATGTCTCTCTCAGGTTCACTCGGATTTCGGCAACCTTCTGTATCGTGTCCTCGATCAACTTGGGATTGAGAACCTGTTTCTCGCTGACTTCATCCCAATAAAGGGGTGAGCGGCACTTACGACAGTGTAAAGCTTCGAACGGCGCCATTTTGATCGATGAGTGATAGCTGTTGTTTTAGGCAAACTCCACAGTGGGTAACAACTTCTCCCACGAACCACCACGCTCTAGAACACAAGCTCGAAGCATGTCCTCAAGCGCCTGAATGGTCCGTTCCGACGGAGTGATATGCGGAGCTAAACTTCAACTTCGTCCCCATGGACTTGTTCAGACTCTCCTAGAAATGGCCAGTAAACCAGGGATCTCTATCTGATATAATCTCGGTTGGAACGCCGTAGTCGAAAAATTCCACGTAGGTACATATCGGCCAACTACTCCATGGACATGTCCATCCTAACGGGCATAAAGTGGGCAGACTTTTTCAGCTGGTCCACAACAACCCATACCGCGTCGTGGTGCTCCTGCGACATCGGTAATCCCATGACAAAATCTATGGTCAGCTTCTCCCATTTCCACTGCGGGATCTCTAAAGGCTGCAAGAGATCCGGTGGAACCTTGTGCTCAGCCTTCACTTGCTGGAAAATTAATCACTTCTCAACAAACTCGGCGACGTCTCGCTTCATCCCCTTCCTCCAAAAAGACCTTTTCAAGTCCTGATACATCTTGGTGCTACCGGGCTGCGCCAAGTATGGAGCACTATGCACCTCTGTCAAGATCTCCTTCTTCAGGGCTTCGACGTTCGGCACAACGATCCTTCCTTTGTACTCCAAGGCACCATTTGTGCCACGGTAAAACCCTCTACTCCTCTGGCATAAATCTTTTCCCTCATCGAGCGAACGAACTCGTCAAAGGCCTGATCCCGTCGGATACTGTCTCGAAGCATGGGCCACATTCTCATCGTTTGAATTCTTCCCACAACTGGCAACTTGGGAAGTGATTCGACAACTTCTAACTGCATCCGAGCGAACTCTCGAATGAGCTGACGCTGTTGGGTGATCATACAGGTCAACTTGCCCCTTTCCTTACGGCTAAGGGCGTCGGCAACTATGTTCGCCTTTCCCGGATGGTAGTTGATGGTACAGTCATAATCTTTCACCAGCTCCAGCCATCGCCGTTGGCGCATGTTGAGCTTCTTCTGAGTGAAGATATACTGTAAGCTCTTGTGGTCTGTATATATCTCGCAATGGCCTCCGTACAAATAGTTCCTCCAAATCTTCAGGGTGTGAACCATTGCTGCCAACTCAAGATCATGAGTTGGGTAGTTCACCTCGTGCGGCTTTAGCTGACGGGACGCATAAGACACAACCCTGCCGTCTTGCATCAGAACACAACCTAGACCCTGCTTCGAGGCATCTATAGATAGTGAAACCCTGTGTGGGGTCCGGAATAGTCAACACAGGCACCATCGTAAGCCTCACTTTGAGCTCCTGAAAGCTCGACTCACAACGACTAACCCACTCAAACTTCACCGACTTCCTCGCCAAACGGGACAAGGGTAAGGCAATCTTCGAAAACCCCTCAGATGAAACCGAGACTCAACAGCTCCTGAATCTGAGCCTTCAACTCCTGAATCTCCTTCGACGCCATTCGATACGCCGCTTTCGACACTGGTCTCGCTCAGGGGACTAAGTCGATTATGAACTCCACCTGGCGGTTAGATGGTCCTCCCGGAAGTTGATCGGGAAAAACGACCACAAACTCACGAACAATGGGTATATCTTCGGGTGTTAGCTTCTCCGAAGTTTCCCTAATAATGTTGACGAGGTATCCCTGACACTCCTCTCTTTGCAGGTACTTGGTCGATTTCGCCATGGAAATAATGCGCGGCAAGGTTCGAGACTTTGTCCCGAAGAACGTGATGCGATCTCTCTCGAATAAGTGAAGCGTCACCTCCCGGTCATGACAACGGATGTCTGCGCGGTATCTCGAAACCAATCCATGCCAAGAATCAAGTCGAAGTCATTCATATCAATCACAAACGCGCCTACAACTAGAGTTCTACCTCCGATATCGATGCTAAAGTTCTTGGCTAAGGAACTCGTAATTATCTTCCTTTCCGATGCCAGGCTGATCTCGAGAGGATCGACAGTACTCACTCCCTGGGCCCCTAAGGCTGATAAACACTTGGTCGAGACGAAGGAATGCATCGCCCCGGTATCGAATAAAGCGAAGAGTGGAGTATTGAATAAAGATAGCATGCTAGACATGGTACCTGGCTGCTCTGCGGCCTGATCGTGGTCAAGTGCGTAAATGTGAGTGGGTGCTCCACGCTGTTGCTGCTGGTCTGGGGGTCTCTGGGCTGGTTGTCTCTGGGCTCGCTGTCTCGGGCGGTCTGGGCAGTTCATGATCAGGTGTCCTGGGCGGCGACAATGGTAACACACGTTCTGCCCGGCTAGACACTCCCCTCGGTGCTGACGGCCACAGGTGGCACAAGCCAGTAAATCCTGTCGGGCTGGTCGGCCCTAAACTGGGCCCCTCTGGTCGCAGTTCTTTATGTTCTTGCGGTCGTCCCACTTCCTCTAGTTTATGTTCTGTGCTGGCTGGGGTGGTGCTGGATGTGCAGGCTAGATGATGGTTGGCTGTCTTACTGGTGGCTGGGCAAGCTCAGTAGATGCATTAAACTGGATGCATGCCTCGATCTGCTGAGCCCTCTCAACAGTGTCAGCGTAATCGAGGTGGCCATGAGTGGCGACCAAAAGTCTGATACCGTTCTTTAGTCCATCATGAAACTGGACTGCCTTCTTCTCCTCGGTATCCACAAGATGTGGCACAAACACACTCTTACGAGTGAACTCTCGCTCGTACTCCTCAACAGATCGGTTCCCCTGACGCAGAACATAGAACTCTCGGGCCATTCTCTAGCAAAAATGGTGAGGGTAGAACTTGTTAGTGTCTTGAGCTGGGTCCACGTCAGAGCCTCTCGTTCGTCCTCGGTGCGGAAACGCTAGTAGTTGTCCCACCAGTCCCCTGCGGCGCCATCAATCTGCATCTCGGCACAAGTGATCTTATACTCCTCAAATATACCCATCACGCGGAAAATCCGCTCCATCTTGTGGATCCACTTAGTGGCCCATCCTCGGCGGTGAAATGGGGAGGGGAAACGATGCGAAAACGACTGACTACAGTGGCCCGATCGGGCTCAGCTTGGGCCTGAGTATCTCTGCGAGGCGGCATTCTGGATAAACGCTTGAATTGATCAGTATAGCCAATTAAGAAATAGCCATACTATACTTAGAAAAATAAAAGATAAATAATATCCGAAAACACCTAGCTTGGCTAGAGTTCGGGTATACTTAAACTTTCTATGTTCTAGCTCATAATGGAGTTCTGACTTAGTCTAGAGTCCTTGGACTTAGCTGTTCTAGAGTTCTTTCTAGAGTTCTCTCTCTACAGTTATCTGTCTTATAGGAGGATAGTTATCTCGGCCACATACTTGAATTGAAATAAGCACTTGCAAAACTTAAACTGAGTCAGGTGACTTACCTCGAAGTCGGTGCGGGATGAGCGTGGCGTGGTCATGCTTT